CCGCCCCCTGGTGGGCTGAGCTGGCCACACACACACACACACACACACACACACACATAAATAAATAAATAAATAAAATTTTAAAAAAATTTGTACTTTTCAAAAGAGAAAAGCACTAGGCTTATGTCCACAGGCAGGTCAGCTGCTTGCCCAAGTGCTAGAAGAGACCAGGACAGGGGCACTGTCACCACACTTGCCTACTGGGAAGTGAATGAAAAATATAAATACCTTCAAAGTAATATTTTTTAGTAAAGTATCCTCCAAAACAGCCTGTAATTTCCGGTTGATTTCCAAAGACAGTTCCAGGGTTAATCCACTGTCAGCAGGGTGGGATGTATACAAAGAGGCCATAATGCCGCCTCGTCTACTTAAATGGACCTTGTTAAAATCTGATGCCTCTGAAGAAAGGGTGCCTGATTCTTCTCGTAAAATGTAACTCTGAATTATTCTGCAAAACAAAATGACACTATCAGTTGTATATGTGCAGAATTAAAAATAGTGGAATTTGCAAAAATTACAACCATAGACTACTGGTCCCAGCCCAGGTGCAGTGTGGGTGAGACCCTCTTCCTTCCCCTTGGGACGCCCCCACCACTCCGCAGCACCTCCCCCACCCTGCCCGCCGAGTAGGAATTTCTGCCGCGTTCCAGGAACCCCCAGACCCAGTCCTAGCACACACCTGGTGAGTGTGTGGGAGAGCTGCCTCTCCCCCCTACTCCACCCTGTCCCCTCCAGGCTCAGCTCAGGCCTGGCATACAGGCCTGGGGTGTAACCCTGCAGCTGCAATCCCTGCAGAGAGTGTAGAGGATAGAACCACCCAGCTAGTCCAGGAACAGAAAATCTTGCCAGAGGGGCACAACAGGTTCACCCTCAAGGGCAGCAGTGGGAAGGAGCTGAGCACAGCAGCCAGACCCAAGTCAGGCACAGCTGGATAAATCCAAACTTTGTAGATTTGCACCAGAACTTCAGTACGTGCTAAGGTTATAACTACAACAAAGATCTACAGCAAAGGTCAGAAGACAGTGCTACACAAAATGACGAGAAGGAACAAAATGCAATCTCAGAACCCAAGCCCAGCCGCAACAAGTGCAGAGGACACTAACACAGAACAAATTGGGAATCACGCAGCTGAAAGCAATGAATTAACGGCTTCTGAAAGAAAAAAACAGCTGCAGAAAGGTATAGAGGAACTCAGATGGGAAATAAAAAAAGAAATCCCTGAATTAATAACAACTGCAGTAAAGAATCAAATGCAGAAACATATGGAGAAAACCCAATGCCCACCCAGAACAAGTGCAGAGGACACTAGCTTGGCTCAAATGCATGAATTAATAGCATCGATAGTAAATAAGCAACAGCAGAAAGATATAGAGGAACTCAGAGCGCAATTCTTTTCTGAAATAAAAAAAGAATTCTCAGAACTCATAGCATCCGAAGTAAAAAAGCAACTATAGAAACACAGGGAGGAAAGCCAATCTGAAAAAAAATACTGCAGTAAAAGAATTTATAACTGCTTCTAAAGAAGACACTGATAAAAAAAAATAGAGGAGATTAGAAAAATGACGGATTCCTTGAATGAGCAATACAGGAAAGAAATAGATCACATAAAGCAGAGTCAAAGAGATATAGAGGAAATTAAACTCTCAATCACAAGCTTGCAAAACCGTTTATGTGAATGTGAAGACAGAGTTTCAGATCTTGAAGATGATGGTGCAGCTAGCGAAAAGGTAAGAAAGGATCTCTTAAAAACAACGAGGATGCAGGAAAGAATAATCCATCACCTGCAAGATGATGTAAAGATGCACAATGTGAGATTAATAGGCATCAATGAGAAAGGAGTGAATACAAATGAAATTAAAAAAATATGGGCAGAAGTAATAGCAGAAAACTTCCCAAATATGAGGAAACAAGCTGACATTCAGGTAACTGAAGCATACAGAACGCCAAGTAACCTCAACCCAATAAAAAACACACGAAGACACCTAATAGTCAAGATTCCAGAAATCCAGCACAAGAATAATATACTGAAAGCCGCTAGAGAAAAGAAGCAGATCACATTCAAAGGAAAACCCATCAGAATTACGGCCGACTTCTCTTCACAAACCATGCAGGCAAGAAGAGCATGGAGCAGAGTACTTCA